TGCCATCCTCCACGCACTCAACACCATCCGAACCTCCGTCACCGCCTCTCTCGACGACATAAAGGCCAACGTGTCATCCTTATGCGACCGCGTCACCACGCTCGAAGGGACCACACCCCCCATCACGGTCGTCACCACCATGCAAACCACTCCAACCCCCACAGTGCAAACTACTCCAACCTCCACAGTGCAAACCACTCCAACCTCCACATCCGCCTCTAGCAACACCCCCCCGCCGACCTCCTCCACTCCTACCACCTGTACCGCCATATCCACCAACCCTTCAATCCCCACCATCGTTCCATTCCCTCCACCTCCTCCCTCATCCGGCGCATCCAGCACACCACCTTATTCCTCGCCCATCAAAGTCACCCCTTCCCCCCCCCCGCACTCCCAAACCCTCTCCCMACCCATCATGACCACCTCCACCATCCCCACCATCCGTCCCACCTATTCCCAAGTCACCTCCGGGGCTTTMCCCGCAATGCCACAACTTCCACCCAACTACCTCCTTRAGGACAACAACCAAATCGACCACACCTGCTACGACACCGCCCCCGATAACCTCAGCTTCAACACCCTCGCGCAGATCATTCACTGCGACGGGGAAATCCCCCGTTCCTTCCGATCTGGTGAAATCATGTCCTTCTTCGGCCTCCCCCACGAGGACGTTTTCCTCTTCCTAACCCAGCTTCAGAACTCTTTTCAGCTCCACCACATACCCCTTGCCCACTGGCTCCCCATTGCCACCTCCCGCCTCCTCGGCAATGCAGCCAAATGGTGGATGGTTGAAGCTAGCAACCGCCGAGCCTCCGGAGGACCACGCCCCACCTTCCTCCAATGGGCCACCCTCCTCACTGCCACCTTCCGCCCCCAGAAAACCATTGACGACTACCTTGAACAATTCTGCCACCTCCGCCAGACCGGTCCCACGGACCGCTTCGTCCAATACGTCCGCTCCCTCCGACACCACCTCCCCCACATCGTCATTCCCGACTGTGCATTCATCTCCCGCATCAAACGAGTATGCCACAAAGACCTTGCAACCGCCCTCGCCCACGAACCCGACACGCCCCTTGCTGACCTCCTCTCTCGCATGCTCCGACTCCTCCACCCCCACCACCAGACCCCCCCCGGCACCTCCCGCACCCGCTTTTTCCACCACATCACCCCCGAAGACACCACCTCCATCACTTCCTCAGACGAGTTCACCACATCTGACCAAACGCACGAGGCCTCCATACTCAACTCTTGGCCGAGCACCACGATGCCAAGACCGCAGGACATCTCGGTTTCCAGAAGACCTTCAACACCATCTCCCGCTACTTCTACTGGCCTTCCCTACTCGTCGACGTTAACGCATACATTCGCTCGTGCCCCACGTGTCAAGCTGTAACCCCTCGAACCGGGCCAAACCCGGCAAGCTCCAATCATTGCCCTCCCAACTCACCGGTGGCAGTCCATCTCCATGGACTTCGTGTGCGGCCTCCCCAAGACCGACCGCGGGCATGATTGCATCTACGTCATTGTCTCCCGCTTGACCAAACGTGCCCACTTCATCCCTTGCACGACCTCGCACAGTGCCAAAGACGTTGCCACACTCTTCTTCGACCATGTTGCTCGCCATCACGGCCTCCCCGAGAACATCATCAGTGACCGTGATCCTCGCTTCCTCTCACAATTCTGGAA